ATTTTTTTTACAGCATTTGAGATTTGCAACATGTTGTGAAAGGTTAAACACAACTTCTTTTTCAGAGGAAAATTGATCAGTGCTCAAATGTCATCCGTCTAGGTACAGCAATACGCCGGCATGCAAACACTGCTCTCCTCACTCAGGTTCCCTAGCTGCATAGCATTTGCATGGTGACATTTTGTTACCCCATTAGCGAGACAGTTGATGTTTCAAAATCAATCCGTTGATACGAGGCAGCCTGCAAGTTTTGTTGGATGGTGCAGACTTCTCTGGGAGATGTGATTAAATTGAATTCTTGGGTTTTGGCAATATGAGAGTCTCATAGCTTCTTAGTGGCAAAGATATTGTATGGTTTTAGAAGGTGATGTGAGGTGGTCACTCACAGATCTCTTAATTAAAAGAAAGTGGAGCTTTCTCAGAAGTCTGAGGCTTTCTGAGATTTTTTTTTAGAATTTATTTTCTTTTTTAAATTTAAACTAAAGCAACTGTTACGGTGTCTGATGCATTTAGGATACAAAAAGAGGCTGTTGCATTGCAGAGTTCATGTACTTTAAAACCACTTGTTAAGGAAATCACTACCTAAAAGTTAGGAGTTTGTTAAAAATGATGTTTGAAAGTTAGTATGTTCCTATTCATTAATGATTTTAAAATAAATGTTTATGAAGAAGTCTTTTCATGAAAGAAACAGCATGTACACCAGCACAGAATCATAAAATCGTCAAGATTGGAAAAGACCTCCAAGATCATCCAGTCCAGCCATTCACCTACCACCCACTATACTGTTACCCTCAGGACCACATCTAGACATTTCTTGGACATCTCCAGAGATGGTGACTCCACCACCGTCCTGGACAGTCTGTTCCAGCAAAGGTAGTTTTTAGATTAAGGGGGAAAAAGAAAAGAGTTTGACGAATTCTGTACAAGCTGTAGATGTGCATGTGGACAGTGGGTTCTGGAAGCACTTACAGCTGATAAAGAGATACTCTAGGTAATAATGTACATTGTAGATTCTCTAATGCATCCTCCAAACAGATCTTGATTTTTCTGATTAGATGTAGGAGGAGCCTGGAGTGATTCAGTAGGTTCTCTCAGCAAAAAATAACCTTTGTCTAAGTCCTTTTTTTCTGTGCTTCCTTGTAAACCTCCCATGTAATTTTGCAAAATAACATCCAACTTAATATGTCTTTTAAAAAACATATTCATCAAGTGTTGACAGCATTAAAATCCTCTTGTGCACTCTAGCTAATTAGGACATCTTGTCCAGAAAGCAAGCTCTTTGTGACAATAAAAATCTTTTATCCTTTTTGCACAGAAAATCTCTTAGAGAGCAAACAGTTCTCATACTGTAACCTCAAAGTCAAAAAAATTCATACCCCTAAAAAATGGAGACAAGGTAATTGAGTCACACTAATCTTGTTCTTAATTGCCATGTATATAAATGCCATCCTGGTAGCATGTAGAGCTGCTGCTTAACTTCAGGTTTTGTGTCAGGCATGCTTTATTTATTTATGAGATTGTAGCAAGTTTTCAATAACATTCAGGAAAACTTCTTTCTCTCCTGTAAAGAAGTTAAGATAAGAGTGATTACAGTGTTTAGCACTGTTAATCTGTTCTAAGTTTCAGCTGAACAAATCGGCTTTGCCTGATACGATTTCTCATACAGAAGTCTTCAAGTGGTTTCTCATTTCTTCGGTGTTTTCCATGCATGATTGATGAACATCTTTTTATCTACTAGAATAAATAATTAAAACTGGATATCTTGAGTATCCTGAGGATT